TGTTCCAGCAACTGGTAGGAAAGCTCCTATATCTTTGCCTCACTCGGCCAGATATTACTTATGTTGTTAGTGTTGTCAGCCAGTACATGCATTCTCCTAGAACCACACATCTTCTTGCGGCAGAAAGAATCTTGGCCTACTGGAAGAGATAACCAGGTAGGGGTATACTTTTCAAGAACAACGATCACATGAAGGTGGAGGTCTATACTGATGCAGATTGGGTTGGGAATGTTGATGATAGAAGGTCTACCTCAGGATATTGTGCCCTTGTGGGAGGAAACCTTGTCTCCTAGAGAAGTAAGAAACAAAGTGTTGTCTCCCGGTCAAGTGCTGAAGCAGAATACAGGTCCATGGCCAATGGAGTGGCTGAAATCCTATGGCTAAGATCTCTACTTGAGGAGTTGGGTATTGAGTATGAGAAGCCCCTGATGCTGTACTGTGATAATCAAGCTGCCATTAATATAGCACATAATCCAGTACACCATGACAGAACCAAACACATTGAAATTGTCCGCCATTTTGTGCGAGAGAGGGTCTCATCTCAAGAAGTATGCCTCCCTTACATCACATCCAGTATGCAACTAGCAGACATCCTCACTAAAGCCGTATCAAGAAAGAAACTAGAGGCGGATCTATCCAAATTGAGAATGATGAACATATACTCCCAACTTAAGGGGGAGTGTAGAGAACATTGATGTGGGCCCCACAGCTGTGGTCGCACTCTGTCTGTAGGGTAGAATGTATCTAGTTTCAGTTTTATATTGTTTGTTATTTGTTAGCAGTTATGATGTAAACACCAAGGGCAGATATGTCCTTTCATGTAACTAGCATAACCTATATATATATTAACTTAAAGTGGCAGTGGCAGAATATTGACATTCTGTTCTTCTCCTCAAAATCTGTGTTCTACTGCTCTTTCACCACTCTTTCTTCTACTTCTTCACTTTCTCTTCTCATCGAACCTGAAATCTCTTAGTGATCAAGACTGAATAGCAGTCTTGAAAACCTACAGTTTTGATGATAGAAATTTAGGGAGAAGTAGCAAGAAGAGGCTTATTATGAAGAATATATGATGAGGGTCACTAGCCTTACTATAATGGATACAATACTTTGCTATTGATTTCACGGTTTGTGCTAAACCCATTTTGTCTATTATTCACAATGCTCTTTACACCCTTACACCTAAGCATCAACTTCGCAACTATGCTGAGCAATTGTGATCGTGTATCTCAATTATCATTTTGATATGATTTGACCTTAAACACCCACAGTTTTTCTGAATTGGTTGCATGCCAGCACTGTTTCATAGAAAATACCATTTATCATATATATATATATATAAATTATTGGCAATACCGTTTACATAAATTTTATCCACACCAGCTTATTCTACTAACATTAGTTTTACCAAACATAAATGCACTACGATACTTTATTTTGCTAGAAACATATTTCATATATAAAGTACAAAAATAAGCATATACAACATTTTATATCCAGGACCAACACCAAGTTGCCAACATGTTTCTCCTGTCTAAGCTATGCACATGTCAAAAGCCTGCTGAGTTAGCAGTGTGACAGATCCGTGATATGGTTTAACTTTTCTGATTTCATTGCTACAAAATGGACCTGGCATTTCCCATTCACAGAAAAAAAATGGCATGTTTATTATCCTCTTCAGTTGCCATTTGACCAAGCATATACAACATAATCCTTCAAACTTTGAGCATGAAGTTGGGAGAATGAATGGAATTATAACAAAAAAAATGTGTCAAATGAGTTTATTAGTCTGGGCTTCATCCAATGCTTGAACTTATATCGAGTATGGGGATTTTAAAATTTAAAAGATAGTTTCACATTTCTTTTGGGTATGCCAGCAATACCCATATCTTTACTAGATAAAGGAAACCAGGAAGGCAACTGCCACAAGTGTAAAGTGAAACATCTAAAAGAAAGAGCATGCAAAAGTTTATTTATGTTGTTTCCTTCACAGTATATGTCATAATTAGATATATGCTGTTGGCCTTTTATGTAATCCAACAATATTACTTGAGAATGCTCCAAAAATACTTCCATGCAACAGGAATTATGAAAACTGATTTTAATAGGACAGATTAATATTCCCCACTCAGGTGAACTAATTTGATGCATCAATCAAGTCTGTGCAGTTTATGAAAGTTCACCCCAAGGGAAAATGTCATACCTGAATACGATACATCTATATCAAAGGCTGATATGCAAGATAAGATAGCTACGTTTTGTACGGAACAACAACAGCTACACTGTCAAATTGCAGTAATGCCAAAACTAAAGGGACCCTTCTAGGGGCATCCTAAGTTCCTAAAAGAGCCTATCCTTATGGGAGGAACCAAAAAAGAACCAATGCAAGAGTATTTGATAATGTGGATTTGTAAGTTGTAACAGGTGAAAATTTTGCACAAAAACAATAACAAATTTAAAAGTGGATGCATAAATACCTTACAGGAATATACAAGGACACATCATGCAAGCACCCCACACCGAGTGAAGAAACTAAAAACCAATTATACCAACTGCAAATACAGAAAAAACAAATGAGCAAGACAAGTCCATACCCAATCAGCATCAGGGCCTTCACCAGGTATTAAAACATTTATTTCACTCGACTTTGCTGTTGTTATAGAAGCTTTCAGCGAATCTTTGCCTAGGTATAATTGGCAGCCTCCTGTATTGTCCACTGAAATTGTTGGAGCTGAGCCCTGAAAACAATAGAAGAAAAGAATGATAACTAAAAGAAACTCAATAATAATACAGTTCCAGGAAGCAAACACTTGATCATTGTCATGTTTCATGCATAAAGGTGTGTTCATCTTTCAATTGATGAATTTCTGAATAAACCTTTAATTCAAATACAGTAGTTTATAGAAACAGGAAAAGTTGGATACCTGGCATTGCAACTCAACACCATTGCAATTCACAATCTCACAAGCTGCTACAACATCCTGTTTAAACCACCAAAATCATGAGAGTCTAGCCCACTCTACTGCTCTGTGCACTAGTTGTGTATAAGACAATAGCAATTGTTCTTCACATGATTTCATACTAACCGTGAATACAATTCCCATCTTAGTGCATTTGTCAAGTGTTATATTGTTCACTTTCTCTGCACAATATTCAGGTAATAATATGGATCAGATGGCCAACCATGTTACATGTAAAATAATTAGATAATCTGCCAAAAAAATACTAAAACTTATAGAGAAGCAGCAATTACCTTTGATTTGCAAAACAGAATCTTTGCATCCAAAAACATATACAGATTGTTTTGCATCACAGTCATCAATAACCAAGCCCTTATTTCCGATTTGATTCTCAACAACCCATCTGTGAAACACATAAATAAATTAAAGACAAATCAAACACCAATGTCCATGGCTTATATGAATGTAAAGCATATAACAAATGATGCTTCTTGAAAACATGGATAACTTCAATTTCAAAGAATATCTTTAAAATCCTCACTTGCGACCCATTTGAAGCTCAAATTTTGGAGGTCCAGCCTTAGACGAGGACAGGGAAGTGGTACGTGTCTCTTTTTCACTAGCACCAACAATGCTAGTTCTATCCGTGCGGTTCTTTGTCTTCATATCATCTGTTACCTTTCTCAATCCTAGGAAGCAAGATTCAAATGAAATCATAAAATTATCCATCCAAAACAGTGCTTATTTCATCAAGTAATGGTTATGTTGCTCCATTTACCAGCAGTCACAGGCTTCCCTGAATTGATTTCACGAAATACAGCTGACATCCCTTCCTTTGGACATGATGATGAAGAACCAGAAGATTCAGAAGTGAAAGCTGGTGGAGGGGCAGGGGCATTTGGCAGAGAAGGTTTTGACTGTGCGGATGCCAAGCCACTAACAACCATTTTTCCAGTAGGATTCCATACTGGACCCAAAGGACAGAAACACTTAACATAATCCCTCAAACCTGGTAAATAGAGCTCCTTCAGAGCTTTGGCCCACTCCACATGATTAGGGTCTTTACTTTTATACTCCACTAGAACCTGAGATAAATCAAATGTGGAAAGTCAGAATTAACCTACTGAGTTCATAAAATCCATGTGCATTTATTTCCTTGTCAATAAACAGAAGTAGAGTGAAAAGGATAGATTTGAGAGAAACCACCACAGGACTAAACAATGCCATTGACCATAAATCAAATGGAAACTTAAAAAGGCATAGGATACCAACAATATGACACATACAAAGAGTTGAGATCTTTCAGATCAATGTTTTAATATGAATATATACTATTAAGTATTAATGTTAAAGATAAAACAAAATTTTGACAACACCAGAAAATATAGCACAAAAGATTCCCATGATTTGTATGGCCACATTCCTATTGTGTGGTAGTAAATTATTATAATTCACATCACCCTGAAATACCTTATTGTTGTAGAACTCAGCCATTTGCCAACTCTCTTCCACATGTGCAATAGGAAGACTCATACCTTGAAAAAAAAAGGCAAGAAAATGAAGTTTGAAAACTGAAAATAGATGCTTTTAGCACACAAACATTAGTAAACAAGTCTCTCACCACAATCTTTGCCTGAGTAGGCAATCCAAGCTAAGGCTGTGAGACTGTCAGCAGCAGTCTTCAAGTGGTTGAAGAAATCAGGCCGTCCTTCAGTCAATGCATTTGCCTTCATGATGACCTCATTTAATGGCTTGAGAAATTCTGCCAGACCCGCAATGTCAGGTTTCTGTAACACACAAAAGCAAACCAAAATTAAACAATGTAGTAAGGTAGACGAGAAGAACTGCATATTACATGTGTGTGTGAATGGTTACTTATTTTGCAAGGTGCCAACCAGCAGGTTGGTAAGGTCTCCTGCTGGTCGTAGGAGAGACTTGGGATCAAATCCCGCCTGCACCTGGGTTGGGGGATGGGCTACCCCCCGTTGTGTAGACCTTCAAAAGATATAAAAAAAGGTTATTTATTTTCTTTCATGTCTATTTTCTGTCTGATTCTTTCTTTTCAAGCCTCAGGTGAGTATCTATTGGGCCCCACATTCTTTGGGAACAAATCAATAAATCAAAAGCAGTAACATAATGTGATTATGTTAACTAAGGTGATTATGTAGCATTGTCTTTACTAAGAGGCCATTTGGCAAATCTTTTTGGGAAGATCTTCCAGTAGCTCTGACAGTCAAAAGACGCATTGAGCTTTTGCATTAAGATCTAAGTGGCCGAAGCCCGTTTGGTTAAGGCATGTCTTTCCGCACGAAGACGAATAGAAAAAAAAGGGCAATAGCTCCATTTGGAGCTTCTCGAAAATCGCCCGTTTTGGGCTTCTCGCGTCTTTTCGGCGCATCGGCTTTTGGCCGCTAGATCTACTAGACCAATGTTGTCTACATCAAAATTGCTCCAAAAATGTAATATTTTAAGGCAAATGACATGTTAAATCCTTCACCCATTTTCATGCCTGGTGGACTTCAGGACTTTTACAATTTCAACTTGTGAAAGCTCTACCAATGACAGAAGATTGTTACAGAGCTCTGTTACTTCCTGGAGATCACTACTCATAGGTTGTTTTAATCGATGCATGGTAAAATCTATGGCCCTAAGGATTTATGTTGCAGCTTGCAAGTTTTGTTCAAATGAAAGAAGATCCATAAAGAGTTACTTTTCAGGCAGGCAGCATGGAGACAATCAATAGGGTAAATATTACTGTATGGGTGAGCTTGCATGAGCATATTAGTTCAAAAACAATATTAAGCAATAATCAGCAATGCCTAACCATTTTTCTGTGATAGGATAATATTATAAGGAGTTTTGCTGTTCATTACAGTAAAGAAAACAAGACTGATATTCTCCATGAAATCCCAAGGCCTAGGCAAAAAATGTATATATAACCGTATATCTTCCATTAGAGAATCAAGCTATTCATGCTTGGTTATTCGCTACATAAAGAAAGGAACTACAGATGCAATATAAAGTTGACTAGTTTTTTCTCGTAAATCAGAAGGAACCTATAACTTGTATAGAAAGCTTGTCAAACCAACCAAACTCATGACGAAATATCAGAATCAACTGGTCCAAATTCAGTATCGTATAATTAAACTAGATCCAATCATATCAACCAATATAAGAACCTTCCTACACGCGATGTCAATAGCAGAGCAATATAAACAGAAGTTGCTGATCTTTTCCAACGGATACAAGTGTAGGACAAGAAATAAACACAAGAATGCACCCATTTCTAATAAAAAGTTCCAAATTCACAAACTTCAACAAAAATTTATTTGAACCAGGAGAAAACCGACCTGACATTGCTTGGCCTTGACAAGAAGTTCCTTCTGAACAGAGAATGCCTCCTCGACGACCTTCGTCACTTCCAGAACTTTTCCCCCGATATTCTCCGCAGCGGCAGAGACCCTACCGAGGAAATTCGCCATGAGATCATCGTAAGCAAGGATTATCGGATCCATCCGTGCATCCACACCCACCTCCGACGAACTCACGGGACGGAACCCAACAGAAAGCTCTTCCAGACGAGCTACTACGGACTCCAACCGCTGTATCATTTTCTCCTCCATTTCTAGGGTTTGATCGAAGATCTATCTCCCACTCTCTTGTGGATAAAACCAGAGATGTTTTCCTTCGTAATAATCACCCGGCCATGATTCCTCTCTCACTCCTCCGTTCTTCTCTTTGAAGGAAAGGAAAAGAAAGGAAACATTCTGTTACTTTTTGTGGATGAATCGCCCCTGAACCTGATCCCTGAAATTCGATATATCCGATCCGAATGCTTCAAGCCTTCCAACATCTCGCTCTTTCCCGTTTTATTTTGGCGCGGGTTTTGGGGGGCGTGGTATTGAAGTTGTCTAATTTGCGAGTTGCGACTTCCCTGGAACTATATTTCACATTTCGAACAGATTGTCGTCGATCCAAACCGTCCAAATGTAACTCCCGGCCCCCAGGGACCAGAACTCCCAGCTGCTTACCGTTGGATCTTTATCCCGAGGTTGCACAACCATAATAAGCATCAGCTGTTGGATTCAGAATATACGGTCAGAATATACGGTTATAGACCCAGGGACCATCCAGGCTAAGGATCCTTGTTATCAAAACAGGTTCCCCACTGTTTATCTTCCTTGCCACGTGTGTTAATGATCTTGAATCACCGAGATCCCGGATCCCTCACTGCCTCACAAGTCACAAGTCACATCAACCAGAGAATTGATGTAAGTCCCGAGCCCGGATCCGGACTCCGAATTGGCTGCGTTTGTTGGCAGTGTGTTACGGATAACATTTCGCTGACGCACAGCGTTATGCCACGGCATACTGCCAAAATAAAAGTTAGTTTAACTAAAAATTTACAAAACTAGAAAAAGACCATACAGCCAAAATAAACGTTAGTTGTTTTTTTTTTAAATTTAATTAAAAAATTATAAAGTATAAAATGAAAATAAAAGTTAGTTTAACTAAAAATTTACAAAACCAGAAAAACACCATACAGCCAAAATAAAGGTTAGTTGTTTTTCACTTTTAATTAAATTAAAAATTATATACCTATAAAAAGACAACCATCGTATTATCCCCGACCATGGGGAGGAATTAGAATCTGCTCCTCACATCGACCTGACAGCTACATTCCACGTGTGTTTGAAACGTCTCCTGTAATAAGAGGTAAGACCTGCACCTCACACGCATATCCTACTGTATATTAGAAATATCTCTCATATTTATCAATTCATGGGAGATGTTCTTAATGCACGGTAAATGTGCATGTGAGGCGCCCATTTGTGAGGAGCAGATCCCGTTTCCTGTAATAATAACATACAAGATGTTCGGCTGGTATATGCTGTGAGACAGTAGCTATTCAACTTTGATTAAGCTGATAAGTATTTGTTTTGTTTATAATAAAAAATAAAATCAGAATGGTTTATTTACATAGTTTATTTGATTTAAACAAGAATCAGAATTAAAATAAGTTTAAATGAGATTTTGTTCCCGATGGAGAGTGAATGATTATTCCTTCAAATGGGGAATGCCATTAGAAATGGAAATGGTGTACGATTCAACTAACCAAACAGTTGGAATCGAAATGACTCATTCTAATTTCGATTTCAAACCCTTATTCCTATGAACCAAATGGGCCATAAATTAATTTCACTGAAAGATCGATTTCATGACAATGAAAACATATTGAGGCTTTCCAAGTTTTTTACCTAATATAGCTTTTTAGGCTTTTTGTATGGGGCTCATTTTGCAAAGCAAATAGCTCCTATGTGAATGCCCTCCCAAACGGGCATTGAATTATTGTATTTTACACTGCTTCGGGCTTAATCTTCAAACCCGCTCAAATTGCACCCTAGTAACACAGCTGTGCAGTTAATTCGGAAGTCCCACTCTACACCAAATCACCGGCCAAGTGTTTCTTTTCTCTTGTGTATGAAAAGCCTTTTGTTAAATTACAAGAGTCCAAATTGTTCCTCACAAAGTGGGAATATTTTTTATTCTTACAAGTTATTATTCATGGGAGATGTTCCCAATATACAGTGGGATGTGGCTATAAAATTGGTGTGAGGTGCATTCTGTGATGAGCATATCCCTATTCAAATTACAACCTTAGGATTTTGTCTAAATGGGTCCTAAAACCCAAAGAAACACTTGATCATTTTATCGTACATATCTCATCGTGGTGATTTTAGTGGAGGGCCGTAACATAACTTTTCAATCCCTAATTAAGATGTATTTGGTATGGATGATGTTTTTTTTTTTTGAGCAATTATACCAGTTCATCACGAAGTAGGCGAGATCGGATTCAGTCCTCACAAGACCGTGCTCACATCGTCCTCATAGCCACTGGCAACTGTGTATTAAGAATATATTGGTACTTAGGCTCAGTTTGGAAGGAATATGAATACAAATATGTACAGCTTAAATACATACAAAATATAAGGTTTTGCACTCTACATATTTGCATTTGTACTCCTTCCAAACTCAGCCTAAATGTTTTTATTCATGGGGAGATATTCCCAATGCACAACTGCAAGTGGTTGTGTGAGGGAGGTGTGAGCATAGTCTTGTGAGGATGGTATCCGAATTCGAAGCATGCATTTAACAGAGAAACACCTCATTTATTGTTGGGTAAATTGATAAAATCTCTCTAAAGTTTTTGGTTGTTGCTAAAACCTCCCTTGAAATTTGGTAATTGCAATTACCTCCCTTGAACTTGCTAATATAGTTGCAAGTAGACCCCTTTTGTTAGAATCTTCTAAAAAAATGTATGAAAATGTTTACGATACCTATGCAATTACTTTTAACCAAAATGTTTATTTTTCCAAATTTCTTCTTCATATGAATGGTTAGTCCAAACCCTTTCAATCTCTTTTTTGAAATTAATTTATTTTCCAAATTTTCCTTCATACCAATCTTTAGCCCAAACCCTTCCAACCACTTTTCTGAAATTAATTTATTTCTAAATTTGCCCTTCATATCAATTGCTAGCCCAAACCCTTCAAATCTCTTTTTTGAAATTGATTTGTTTTCCAAATTTATCCTTCATATCAATTGCTTAAATGTAAAGATGCAACTTTAAATTCTCAATTTTTTGTTGTTTATAAAGTCTGTATTGTTTTTTTATGTAGAAACCAGCATGATAGTAATCATATGGGTATTTTGGACATTTTTGTATCTCTTTTTAGAAGATTCTAATAGAGAGAATCTATTTGTAATTCTATCAAAAAGTTTTGGGGAGGTGATTGCAATTACCAAACTTCAAGGGATGTTTCATCAATGTAACCTTTATTGTTTGGTTGATCATTTAATTAATAAATGTTTCTCTCAAGTTATATAAGAGCCATTTATCAAAGAAATGTAAAAAATGGCATTTTTCAAATATATGGACAATATTTTTATTGTTTGGCGGATGTGATGCTTAGTTGTAAGAAAACATTTGAAATCGGATTTTGCTCCTCATGGAGTGACGCATCACACTTCACACCGACCTCATAGTTTTATCGCAGCCCTGCATTAGGAATATCTTCCTAGGAATGACAACATCAACGTAGGAGATATTCTCATTTCTCAATGCCTGACTTAAAGTGCTGTAAAGTTGAGGCGAGCCTCGTAAAGAGCAAATCTGTTATCTGGATTCAAAACATTTTGGAAAGAGTATAAATACAAATATATACAGTGTAAATTGAATGAACACAAGTTTTGGATTGAAATTGATTTCACTCAGTTTGAGTGATCCAATGAATTGTATTTATAATTTGTTATAGGAGATACAAGTTTACATGGAGAGAAACTCTCTCTTAAATAAGATACAACAGATAATAAAGATAATGATAGGTAAGGATAAACAATAATTTAAAAGTTTAAAAATTCCAGAGGATTGCCGCCATGTATTATTGGATAGGATGCTCAACACAAATACATACAAAATAATACAAAATATAAGGTTTTATACTCTACAAATTTGTATTTGTATTAGGCTTAATTTGGAAGGAGTACAAATGCAAATATGTACAATGCAAAGACATACAAAATAATACATAATACAAGGTTCTACACTCCACATATTTGTATTTGTACTCCTTCCAAACTAAGCCTTAGGCTCATTTCAGAAAAAATACATATATAAATATGTAAAATATAAATACATACAATATAAAATACAAGGTTTTGCACTCTACTATCTCTACATATTTGTATTTATACTATTTCCAAACTAATCCTTAAAAATGATGTTTTTTTAGGCAACCTCATACAAAATGTTTATCAATTAAACGCCATCAAAACAGCCCCTAAAACACACCACTCAGCATTGAAATTAATAATAAAAAAGCAATTCACGTGATATTTTGAATTTATTTCATTTGGGGGATTGCAGTTGCACTTTGCAAGGAACCACGGTTGTAGCAGTCTAGCAGATGTAAATTCATTTCAACATATTATTGTCAGGCTGGATCTTGGGTCCCGTGGGATATACCCATACAGTTCACATTGGCGCTCCATAGGCGCTAGACCTGTTTATGGCCGGGTAGTTTGACGGCGTAGCCCGCTCTCGGGCTTGGACATATTTTTAGGCAGGTAAGTCTGAGCTCGGGATTTCATATAAAAAGCCTGGCTTGGCCCGATAATATTATATATTATATTATATATATTATTAAAAATATAATAATATAAATTGTTTTCTTAAATTCATTACCCTAATTTTTCATTCAATACTAAATACCTCCCTTAGCTCAACCTGTTTTCTGTTCAAACCTGAAAGAGTTTGCAACTTTCCTCTCTTCCAGATCAGCAACAGGCGGTAGTAGATTAGCAGGCTAGCAGCAGTATCATATGATCTCCTTCCATAGGAGGTGACCGGCGACGGATGAGGCGGTGAACGATATAATCTCTCTGGTAGGCATCCCATTCTCTAATCTCCTTCCACAAGTGATGACTGGCGACAGATGAGGCGGCGAATGTTATAATCTCTCCGACGAGGCGTCTCATTCTCTGATTTCCTTACACAGGCGGCAACTGACGAGGTGACAAACATTATAATCTCTCCAGCAGTGAAGCATTCCATTCTCTGATTCTCTCTGATCTTTGAATACACATTCCATTCTCTCTCTCTCTCCCCTTTAGTTTGCTAACAACAACTCAGGCTTCAAGCTTATCCTTGGGCCTCAGGATTTTGTGAGGGTTAGGCTCGGGCCTAAATAAATTATGTAGATAACAAGTGAAAGCCTGGCCCATGAACAAGTCTAATAGGTGCCCCACATACACATCTCAACATGCATTGGGAACATCTCTCGTATTTAGTCATTGAGAGATGTTCCCAATACGTGATTGGGATGTGATATGGGGCATGCTCTGTTGGGCTT